CAAGGAATGTATATTAAAAGTGTACTCTGAGATCATTCTTAGAGTTGTATTTGTTCCTTCGAAGGAACTAGTATGCGAAATATTGTGCACATGGCGGAAAATACTGGCAAAACTATGTATCAAAATATTAAACAGCTAGTCCATTCTCACATTGTTAAATTGTGTAGTTTCATCATCGAAATTGAAACAGCAATTAAAACCGCTGAACTGCTACTTTTAAATATGGTTTGTCGCACACTGACTCATGGTCTGCAGTAATTCAGAACAAAGATGAATCTGCATGAATAATCAAAAATTTTTTTTTGCAATTCATGTATATTAAAATCTTTGAATATATCACATAAGAGTTCCAATACCTAAATAAAGTTATAAAGTGATCTTCGAATGCCACTTATATTAAGTCCAGTAAAATTGTGCATATACATAGAATGTAGTGCTGATTAAAGATAATATATCATTTCCAGCACCTTGCGAGAATTTGTGTGACTTGGCAAATGAACAAATCACCAGTCGTATTTGACATTATAAAGTAGATAAACATGTACATGTAAAGCATTCGGATCACTTGAGTTGTAAATAGTATGCCACAACCCCAAAGATAGGTCACACCAGTCATATTCTACAATTTAAAGAAGATACACATACACATGTTACACAGACTGATTACCTGTTGAGCACTAATGAGGAATTTTAAGTGGTATACCACAACAGCAATGTTAACTTTATAGGGGTTATAGTTATTGCTTTACAACGCGAAAACCTAAAATTCAACAATATTTTCTCATAATTTATTTTGAAATTTATTTATATTAATGAAACAAAGCCAATTCTGAATGGTATGCAGTAGGGATGTTCTTCCCTCTAAATATATATATATATATATATATATATATATATATATATACTTGAAACACTTTGCAACTCTGAAACTTATCAATATTATAAACAGTGATAAAAGCCCATTGTCGTGTGATTCAGAGTGTCCTAATCTTGCTCTGTGTGAAATCCTGTCAAAAAATCCCCTTATTTTTGACACAAGTCTTTTTCTTGAAATTTCATAGTATTATACACCCGGTTACAATATAATACAAGACTTGCTTGGGTTGTTTGGATCACTGGATTTGTTGTTGTTTGCTGCTCCTGCTGCACCTGCTGCTATTCCCGCTGATTTAAAACTAACATGTTTCTCATCAGCTGCTGAGATAAAAGAAGAATGCGATGAAGCATTGATTACAATGAAATGAATTAGAGGAATGTTCAACTTTCATTAAAAGTACAGCTGCTACGTAAGTAAAAGAAAGAAATTCAAGCTCAAAATCAAATCATTTTTCTGGCAGACGTTTGATCTACAGTAAGCTTTTGTGGGATCTCTATAGAAAATCACCTATTGCTATTGACAGACGTTTTTGGGCGATTTTAAAACCTTATGGTGGCAAAATTGTGTTCATCATGAAATAAAATGCATCCATTGTTGAACATCTTGCACCAAATGTTCAATATTATATTATTTTGGGAAAACTCAAACACTTAACATTGTTTCATTACCATTTTCATCAGAAACCAATAGAGTACAAATATTATATATGATTTTAAATCACCTTGCTTTTGTTTTGTCTCTTGTTGTGATGAACTTTGTGTCTCCTTGACTTTATCAGCTGGGTTTTGTGGAGAGGATGAAGGTGGTTCCACTTGACTTTTTGCCTCATCAATCTGTTGCCCAGATTTTCCCTGGCAAGAACAGAAGAAGATAGACCATGGTAACATCTTTAATGTTAATTATGCTGCAATCAATGTAGGATTGTCAAGGGGAACATAGAATACTAAGTGAGATTTTATCATTTTTGTTAAAATAAAATATTTTTAATGATGTTTGACAATTACATTCCTGGCCAATGAGCTTTAACAATTTCAGTTAAATTGCATCGAAAAGTGCATTCAATTTAGATGGATACATTACATGTAGACTGGTTCACCCAACTTCCAGACCCGTTGCCAGGATTTTGTCCCCAATGATAGATTTGATACTTATATAAATTCCCCATGTGCTATATCAACTGATAACTGCCACAGAGGAGGTGGCAGAACCATTTTCGACAGAGATGGATTAAATAGGTAATGCTTGTACAGAAAAATTGCTGGTTAGTCAAGATACAGTATATCAGCTTTTTCTTAATATATTTAGGATCTGCTACAAAAGTTTAAAGGTGTATTCACACAGTGTATTATATGCAGAACACCTCTCACTGATCACCATGAAAAATGATATAATCCATACATGTGCTTTGGAAAGAAATCCTGAAATATTGAAGCACTGAAGCTAGCCTTCACTGAAGTTCATGTATGGTGTTTAATTACCAAATCGAACATACATTTCATTATTTTAATCATTCAAGATATTTCAGGTTTTATAAATTCAAATATTCTATTTTTTTAGAATTTCCCATAAACTGTATGATATATAATGCCCTTTTTATGCTTACAAGGATCAGTGTTGCCAAAGATCTTTCAAAGTGGGGATAGAAATTTTAATGGACTGAACATGAATATCAAATGAAGAGATGACACCAACAAATTATCTATCAGCCTAAAGAGTATTTTAGTATGAGATTGGTTTCACGCATCACTGTTTCCTTTTCTGTTGTTTTGTATTGTATTTTTTATTATCTGCTACGATAG